GGAAAGAGGGGGGCGTCCTGAGTCACGACCTCTTGATGAGCACGTATTTCTCGTGTCTGAGCCTCTCTGACTCTTCCAACAGGTGTGTGGGCAGCTATGTCTCTACCTTCTCAGTGAGATGCCTCTTACGTTGAAGGCCCTTATTTGAGCCACCATCACTTTCACAGATGGAAAGTCTCAAAGCCCTCTAATCCAGTGGCTACAGCTCTGGGATGTGTCCACCTCTGCCATTTCCTAACGCATATGGAGGATGAAGAGGACGCTAAGGAGGCAGGGAGAGGGCTTCCAAACGCCACGGGAAGGTTAGACTAATTTCAGTGATGAAATGCTTCTATGTGGCTGATGCTGGATATTCTATTATCCAAAATCCCCATTGCACAGTGATAAACAAAACCCAAAATGGGGGCTGGGGTGGGGAAATGATGTGAATCACAAACACCGATTCAGTGTCAGAATGACTCACTTTCTAACTAAATACTTACTACGTTTTTATAAAAGTAATTTGAAACAGAAGCTTCTTAGCCCTACTTATAAGAATTTGACATGAACTTTGTATTAGCAATTAGGCCAAAGGTGAGATGCAGTTCAAGAATCACTTTCCTCCAGGTTACCCAGAACAAGAGTTAAGCCAGGGTTTTGACAGCACAGCTTGGAAATAAAGCTAAACCTCTGTTGTCATCCTGCTACTTATCAACAATATCTCACATGGAGACGTCAATTCCCGAGTAATTTCCTTCCCAAAGTGGATGAGATTCTGACACATGCAAGTCAGAATCAGGGCGCCCCAGCACGGTCCAGCAGCTCTGAGGCAGGACAGGGCGGCAGCCGCATATAAAGGGGCCCTGGCTGTGTGGGTAGGTTTGGGGCAGCGGCGGGGGACATACTACTCCATGACCAGGACGATGTCGTTCTTAGACTCGAAGGCGTCGTAGAGCTGAATGAGGTTCACGTGGTCCAGCTGGTTCATGACGTTGATCTCGTTCTTCACTTCATCCTGGGAGAGGAAAGGGCTGGTTGAGCGCCGTGAGGACAATGGCCAGGTGGGGTCCACACCGCACAGCCCTCACCTTGTCCTTCATGCCTCTGGTCTTGATGATCTTGGCCGCCAGCTTCAGACCTGTGGCTTTCTCCTCACACTTGTGAACCTGGCCAAAGCGCCCCCTGCCAGAGAAGAGGACGAGGCCCAGCTTGAGGGTCTGTCCCCACCAGGGCCCTGCTCCAGTCACTGCCCAGTGGACAATACAGCTGCCCGGCACCCCTCTTTTTGACTTTGAATGAGCAAGCCTGTTATGCACGTTCTGTAGCCAATATCTCCTAGAACAGGGGCTTCCCAGGTCGCACAGTGGTTAAGAATCCACTTGCTGGGCTTCCCTGGTGGCGCAGTGGTTGAGAGTCCGCCTGCCGATGCAGGGGACACGGGTTCGTGTCCCGGTCCGGGAAGAT